TACGTACGTACGTACGTACGTACGTACGTACGTACTACGTACTACGTACTACTACTACTACTACTACTACTACTACTACTACTACTACTCTACTCTCTCTCTCTCTCTCTCTCTCTCTCTCTCTCTCTCTCTCTCTCTCTCTCTCTCTCTCTCTCTCTCTCTCTCTCTCTCTCTCTCTCTCTAAAAATCACACAAACACTCTTTGGAAGAAAGAGACACGTACAACACACACGACATCTCTCTCAAAATCACACAAACAGTCTCCGAATAACACAAACACAGACACAGACACAGACACAACAAACAACATCCATGTCAAACACGATAGCAAATATCCTTTTACTCTCAGTGCAAATGAAGTTGGTGGATTTTCTTAAATTAGCTACCTGCCCATGGAACAGACTAACTAATTTTTTAAAATCCAGATGGTTCAGCCATTTATGCTTTCCATATTTTAATCCAGTCGATTCAGCCATTTATTTGTTTTTCAACTTTAGGATGATTTCCTTCATCACAGGAAAGATAAATTATGCAACACAAGGACAGAATCCTAACCAGTGTTATAAAGCATAATCACTTTCTTTTAACGGCATAAACTTATGCATACTTTTGGTAATTCTTTTAATGGCATAAACATTAGCAAATCTGAGGCTACAAACCTGGTCTTCGAGACGGATATTTAAAGCGTCAATGTTGGATATACTCCCCTGGCCCGAAGCATCTTGTACAATAGCTTCTATCTGAGATCAACATATAAACCAACAGAATTTGAATACATTATAAACAACACATCCTTGACCAAATAGAAATTTTTTTTGACATTTTCATAGCTTTAATAACATACAATAACTGACTTCAAAATCTACTATGCTGCAATCTGTGAGAGAACGAGAGGGAGAGACAGAGAGAGTGTGAGTGTGTGTGCGCATGTGTGTGTATGTCTGAGAGAGAGAGAGAGAGAGAGAGAGAGAGAGAGAGAATGCTGTAATATGTGGCAAGTGTCAAAGGGGTGCTTTCTTGCCCTGCCTATGACTACATGTTCTGTACATATACAACTGTTGTAAAGACGGTTGAGAAAGGAAGGATAGATTATTTAAGGGCCCATCCTCAATTTAAATCTACGATAACGTCAGAACTCTCGGAGGCGCTAATTCTGGCAAGAAATTTCGAGTTAACAAGATCCTAAAACTCAAAGCCCGCCAGATTTGCAGTGAGAGGAGCAGAAGTCTTAATTTTAGCAAGGAGGCAACCAAATTTAGTAGCAATAACCAACAACCACCAACTTTTGCCAAGAAACAACTCTTATTCCTAATTACCTTTGGCCTAACAGAGAGCCATTACCTCAAAAGAACATGGACCATGGTTTCCTCTCACAAATCAAAGGATCTTTTTTGTGCCTAGTGAGGTTCACCAGAATATAGTCATGCAAGGTGCTAATCATCTCCATCCAAGGAGGTGTCCACACTCTAATCATCTCCATCAAAGGAAGTGTCCACACAAGTAGGTGTTACAAATCCGGCTTCTGCACCTTCAGTTCACCATAAAGAACCTACACAGAGGTTGCTTGCAAGTCCCCACAAAAAAAAAAAAGTTTCAAAAATCTATTGGCAAAACCATGCTTCCCCAACCACGGACCAAAATCAAAATCCAGAAGTATCTCAACCACATATGTTTCTCACATTTTCTCACAGACAATAACAAATATGTCCGACCAAAAAGAATCATGTTGAACCTTAAACCGCCATCTCCATAATTTAAGTAGGCTCACATTCATGACAAACATTAGTCTACAGAATCTTTTTTTAAAATGGTTAACTGTTAAGTCTACAGAATCATCCTAGAAGAATTGAAGTTTCCTTTCAAAATGCACTGCAAGCAAGAAAAAGAATAAATAACAAAAAAAAGGTAAAACTATAACAAGTAATGAAATGATTATTGCAAACTACATAAAAGCACAACATCATTTTTATTTAAATATGTCAGCTGTAGGAATCAAACTTGACACGTAGGCTAGAAAAACTACGTAGAATAATGGAATAAAACCATAGCGTTGAATACAGTGGGATGATTGTTGATCGTCCCTTCATTCAGAAGTTTCTCATCATCAAACTCAGGCTTAACAACTGACTTCCTAAAAGGGTCCATTATTAAGCTAGAAAAGAAAGTTCAAGAGCTTTAAGCTCTTAAGGCTTTAAGGAAGATGCAAAGGCAGAGAAGGCTTTGATGAAAGAAACATAGCCACAAGACCATTTCATGGACCAGAATCAAAGAATACAAAATTTAAAACGAATCAAGAAAAACTTGTGATTTCGAAACTTGCATCACGTAGATCCACAACAAAAGTCTAGTAGAAATTCAGGAAGCTTGACCACAATAAAAGATAATCAAAATTCTGTTTTAAGATGCCCGCAATTGAATAATCAATTGGAATAGAAAAATGCAGTGCATATAGGGAGGGTAATGAGACATACAATAGCCTTAAAGTACACAATCTGTGGATTGGAAAACTTGGTTCCAAATTTTGCTTGTTCATCAGCTACACTATTAACTACGCCATAATAAACATCACCATCATACTGATTTCGGCATGCACGTAGCTCGAATTGCACATAGGACAGCTGCTTGTTTATTTTAAGTAGGTATTCGTTAAATTTCCCCTGATTACCACCTACAAAAACATCAAGTGCACAAAGAATCATAACATGGTCAAAATAGATACTACTTCCAAAAAGATGGCAACAAAAAAGTAAAGTCAATTTGCTGTAAGAAATACAAGGCATTGCATCACAAAAGTTAAGTACGGTAAAAAAAAAAAACTGTGATACAGGCCCCAGCAAAATCCAGTGTAAGATATAAAGTTTTAGAATTACTGATCCTGAACTGACCCCCAAAATTACACAAGATATCGTAAAATCACATTATCAAGCCCCGATATTATGAGAAAATGCATTAACTAAAACATCAGATACAAGGAAAGACTGCATGAAATTGACTTAAATAAAGGGTCTAGCCAAGGTATCAAAATATGAAAGTTTTTATAGAAACCCTAATTAAACCCCTGATTCTAGACTAAAACATGGGCCTGCATCCTATAATTACACATAGAAACGTCCAATACCATATGTCAAAATGTGAAAGTGCTGAGAAACAAAACCTACTCCATGGAATCATAGAGTAATATTTCGCAAACACTCCTTGCAAATCAATGTCAAACGGAATTAGGATAAATGAAACTAACCAGCAGGCTTTCCAGTAAGGTCAGTAAACATCAAATGAAAGTCTTTTTCTTTCAAAGGTCCCCGCGATAGCAGAGCTTGGATCAATGTGTGGTGCTTGTGGTTTAATTCCGCCATTTTCAAATAGTAAAATCAGAAAAACACCATGGATAAACCCTAGTTCCCAGCTTAGTTTGAAGCTCTGGAACAGAGAACACAACTAGGGTTGAATTGAGACAGGTTCCATGCAGAAACCATAACTTAAAGCTCCATCAATAAGAACAAAACCGGGGTTTGAATTAAGAGAGAAACGACGCCTAAACCCTAGTTAGAACTTTGAAGCCCCGCCAATGGAAATATATATGAAGTTGCAGAGGTAAAACAGACGAAAATCAGACCGGAAAGTGGTGGGAAACTATCAGAAGCCGCCGGGAATTGATCGGAAGATGGCCCGGAATTAGCGCAATAAGATGGCGACTGGTATGGGAATTTCGAAACTAGGATTCGATTTGGGCGCGCAAAAATGAATTATTAGCGCTTCTTGGCTTTATATAGACAAGGAAATGACTAAAATGTCCTCGTTCTTTTTGTTCCGTTGGACTGAAATAGCGCTGGTTTGAGGTTTGCTTGGACGGCTGAGATCTGATGGTTTAGGTGTTGAAAGTGCGGCGTGAGATGTGAACCGTTTATTTGGTTGGTATTCTAGAAAATAAAGAAGCGTGTTGCAGCCGCACACTAATATTTGTTTATAGATGTTTAAGTGTTTGTGATCGTTTGAAAATTTTATTTTATCCCTAGCTATAAAATTTAAAAAAAAAAATTTGTTTCATGAGCAAGGGTACGCGTATCTACATTTGTTGATTTTTTTTCTTTTAAGTAGACATCACTTCAATAGTATAAGATAGCAATCTTATATAACTCAAATAAAAAAGAAAAGTGCTATATGTGTCAGCCGATGCATGCGATCGCTTGACCATCCAACATTGAGAAAAGGGCACTTAAAATATGCAGTGCATAAAATATATATATAATGTTAATTTGACAATGAAAAGTTTATTTATTTTTTCATATTTAAGATTAATGTTCTACATCATAAATATTTTAAAATTTTAGAGGGGGATGCACATGTGCATATGATCCCCATCCTCAATATATATATATATTTCTTCAAATTTTGAGTGCACATTATTTACTTTCGTTTTATTTATTTGCCCAAAACTCTCTCCTTCACAGACTTATTATGCCTATGATAGTTTCAAGTGGGTCTAGCAGACATCCAACTAGATGCTTCAAGTTTTACGGGCCCATTAAATCCATTTTGGGGCATCATGGATTTAATAGGCTTAATAGGTCCGTGATGATCCTTCAGGGGCCTAAATAAAACAAAAGGAAAACTTCTTATAGAATCCTCATTTATCGTATTATTTCACGGTAGATCCTCTTTCCGTTTTTTTTCAAGTCGTATAAAAAAAATCCTAAAGATTTCACAGTATCCCCTAATCTCTTATCTCCCTCTTTTTATCCACGTTTGATCATAAAATTAGCCCAAACAAATATTTTTATATCATTTCAATCTAAAAACTTTTTTAATGGGTATGAAAGAAAAAAGAGTGTTAAAAACGTTTTTGAGATTAAATGATATAAAAATATTTGTTGGGGCTAATTTTTATGGTAAAAAATCAATAAAAGATGGAGATACGATATTAAGGGTACAATGAAAAGGATTTCCTTATGTCGCTTGAAATAAAAATAAAAATAGGGTCTACCCTGAAATAATATGATGAATTAGGGTTATATACAAAAATTTCCCAAAACAAATGGTTCAACTTCAACCCCTAGGTTGAAAGCCAAGAGGCCCTAAAATTTCTATAGCTCTTATTTGGGCCTCTTTAACTAAAATTTGTTCGGTTCATGTGGCATTTAAAAGACTTATGAGTGCTTGTAAACTGAAATAATAGAGTGGAACATGAACTCAGTAGGAGTGTAGTCCCTCGTAGGGTATACTAAGCAAACGATGTTTGTAAATACTAGAATGTGCTTGACGATTTAGACCAATCGGTTGAGAAAAACCCATGTTACCTGAGCATAAAGAACAAATCGATAAGAGTTCTAATATGTTAGCCCTTGATGAGGTCGGAAAATATGCCTGGATGAGTGAGCCGATGGACTGTGTAACCCTTGTATGTGATGGTGGCCTACAGAGACGGGAGCCAAAACCTCATCCATGTACCATCACACGACATGCATATCAATAGATTGTTTGAAAAAGTTAGAAATCTACCTTTTAGGGTGAAGTGTATGCATATGCGAGAGATACCCCTATGCACCATAAGAGCTATGGTCGTATCAAGTCTAGGTGATTGATTCGTCTCTAAGGGAAGACCTGAAATCCACAGACTGAGGTTGCGATCTCTTGGCTCATCGGTCAGACTTTAGTGACCTGCTAATGAGCCCTTGCTTGGACTGTGGGTCATGAGAAACATAAGGTCCGTCTGAGAAAGCAACTGTGGTCTGTAGTCCACAGTTGAAGGTGAAGTATCCCATGAATTACTAAACTAAATGGATCATTTTCCCATCAAATTAATTTAATTGTGTTTGTTTTATGGTGAAATTTATTTTAATATTATTATTTGAATTTTTATAGATCCCTGGGTATTTTATTTATAATTTTTTTATTTATAAATTTAAAGATATTTTATTTTACAATTGTTTAAATATTCAAATAATATTCTAATTAAATATATAAAAATATCATGGGGGCCCATTGTGCACATGGGCCCGTCGTATTTTTAGAAGGTGGGACCCATGAGTGCCTCCCTTGGGTGGCACGCCCCACCCTTGTTCTCTTTCCTATTTTTTTGGTGATATGACATGTGAGCAGTTGGCAGATATTAACTAAATATTGACTCGATATATCTTTCAAATATTTTGTGAAAAGATTTAGTAGACAAGTGTTATTTTTATGGTATGCACAACATTTTGATTAGAATTAATTTATTTAATTTCCATTAATGATAAAATAGTTTCGAAAAAGGGGATAATGGTTCATACACCTTTCCATAACGTTGATCGCTCGTTTATGGATTTGATGAATAAGATATTTCACCCTACAAGTCACCCTTGATCGATGGTCTATGTTCAATATCACAAGAAGAGGCAAGCCAAATAAAACCCTAAGAAATCCTAATCTTATTCAAAGCCTGTAAAAAGGGTCTCTACACCTTATCTTTCTATTTCTATATTTTTATTTATCTCTATCATGTTTGATATCTCTCTCCCACAATATGAAAGAACCTAAGGGTTTAGGTTAAAGAGTTATTCTCTCTCCTATCTCTTAAATATGGATTTATGGCGAAGGGTTTTAGGGTTTAGCAAAAAGAGAATCCATCTCTCTCAAACTATGTTTCTAAGAGAATTCGCCTAGGGTTTGAATTTGTGATGAAAAGGGTTCATGTTCCATTAGTGTGGCTTGGCCGAAATTTCTTTTCCTGGTTCGAGATTGAAGCTAGATCGTTGATCCCGCCCCATCGAATTGTGGTGACTCGGTGTGAGGTGTAATAAGTCTGGTTGAAGTAATCTCCGGCACTCTTCCTTTTGTTTATTGCAATATTGTCTTTTATTCTCACGGATAATACATAATTGTTTCAATGACATCGAGCTATTAAGATATTGGTTTTATTATTATGTTGATTTTTTAAAAAATTTATCTTATTATAATAAAAACCATATGTAAGTGATCTTTTGCCGAAAGAAAGAGGTGAAGAAAAAAAAAATGTATTCCCCAATAAAAGATCACATACGTTTCAAAAAGCCCAAAACCTTTTGTTTTTGGATAATTCAATCATATGAACAAAAATTGAGATGATATATTCCAGTCAAGCCCAGGCTCAATTACTCGAAAACCCAACTTGTTTTGCCTAGTAGATAACCATTGATTATTGTTTTCTATTTTTCAATTTGGAATATGTACTTGTTTACTGATGTTTGCCTCACATTTGTTACCTTATCATTTAGCAGGTGTCCCTAAAAGGGATGTAAACCTCTTCCTCAAGGAATACGATGTTTTATGTGATTCACAAACCTATCACGATGAACAGGTTTGTGATGCCCTGAGTACTCATAGTGGTTATTAAGATCATTATGGATCTATTAGGTTAATGATGGGGTATCATAGATCTAAGTATATAAAACCTCAAGCACCTGCCAAGGTATTTATTGGAGGGGCTATTAGGAACTTCGTAGGTCATGATTATAGGTATTGAAAAAAAGAGTAACCATCATATGAGACCTTCCTACACCTATGTGTGTAGGATTCCAAATAATCACCATTAAATTTGACACAGATCTCTAAAAAAGTTATCACATGGGTGGGACTTAACTTTTATAAAAATATGTGCCAAATTTTATGGTGATCCTTTGAGGTCCTACACATATGGGTGTGGGAGGGTCTCACATGGTCATTTTTCTAAAATGATATTTTTCATAATGTTTTTTTTTTCATCACAGCTCATTTTTTTTTCTCATGAATTCGAAAGTTTAAGACAAAGTCACCAATATGTGCACATGGTTTCTTTTGTAGCCTTATAACGGCGAAGGATGCAGTTTCTATAAGCCTAGGCTTTATAAAAAACAAAGCCCCACCTCAAAATCATGTTTGAAGAATACATCCGACAGATGACTCTAAAACATAGTTTCATGACTGATTATAAATTTTGTAGCTCAAAAAACGATATAAATCATGTGAATCTACAAATGAATCTACGAATAATTGACAATGGACGATCTAACATATACTATTTTAGAGCTTGAAATCCAATACTTGTTTTTACAAATCTTATGTGCCCTAATCATAATTTTAATGTAAATATTGAAACGAGGCTTTACTTATTTTCCATACAGCCCCGGCCTTATTTTGACGAGTTTCATAAAGGAATTGGCTGCTCGCTGCGCTACTCCGAATCTCTCTCCTCCTTTAACCCTCGTTTTCTCTCTCATGGCCTCCAGAAACCTTCCCGCCCGAACTCTCTCTCTAAATCCTTGTTCAAACCCTACTTTTCTCGCTCTCAATGGTGCCACAAGCCCCAATTCTGTCTCTCGCACTTACACAAATTGTTTAATCTCAAAATTTATCCGCCTGAACTTTCTATCAAGCCATCGGTTTCTCTATCTAAATAATAAAAATGACCATGGATTTCTCTCTCTAAAGCTCTGTGCAAAGCCCCTCTATGCAATTTGTGGAGCTAAATTTACCCTCCACTGTCACTCGTCTCTTCCAAACCCCAATATTCTCTATCTAGTGAGTTGGAATTTTTCAAATCAAAAGTTCCTGAAATGCAAGAATTCGTCATTTATCCCGATAATTCTCAGAGGATTTTACCGAAAATTACCAGGTCTGAGAACTCTGTATCGCCGCTGGGAAAGTGATGAATTATCTGATGACACGGATGATTTCAAATTCGATAGAGCTGTTTTATTGTTCAATAGCAGAGATTATTACCAATGCCATGACATTTTGGAAGCCATTTGGAACAGAGTAGAAGAACCCCAGAGAACAATTGTGCATGGGTTGTTGCAGTGCGCTGTAGGGTTGTATCATCTAGCTAACCAGGTATCTCTCTCCCTCTCTCTTATGTGATTATTCTGATATATTGTTTCATATAACCTCTATCTTAAAATCTTTCTTATGTGATTATTCTAATATTTTGTTTCATATAACCTCTATCTTAGAATCGCACTGGTCAATAATCTCGACCACCATGATTCCTCAATCTGAAAAAAAATGGAATTTAAATTCTTACAATGGATTATCTTAAAAGAATTAAAATGAACGGTCAAAAAAGTGTGCAAAAGCAAAGTTAAAACCAGTGTTTGTAAAATGATATAAAACGGGCCTTTTCAACCATTCGCAAGTCCCAGGCGGAAAATAAAAAAGATATAAAAAAACATATACTAAAATATGAAAAGGAATGATTAAAACAAAGCAAATTCAAATAAAGTTGAAAATCAATGAAAAAGGGGATTTTAACAAATGGATTTGTGCCCAGGGATATTTTAAAAAATTTATGAAAAAAATGAGAAAATATAAAAGTGAGTATTAATGACCAAAACAATTTTTAATATTTATTATATTGTAAAGAATATTAAAAAATGCACTACAAATCAAATTCCTGATTTTTTAGAATTTATGTATTTTTTTTTTTTAAATACGAGTTGATCAGTAAAACCACCCAAAACCGGAACCGGATCTAACCGTGGAGTTAGCGATTAGATCGCCCGGTTTTTCCAACAGTGGTTAAAACTAATCTATCTGAGGTTTAAAGGAGGGCAGCACAATCCACCTAGGCGTGCTAAAGCTAAGAGTTTATGGCACTCTTGATTTCATATTTAATGACACCCTCTCTTCCCATACCAACCCAATTATCCATCGTTGTACCGCTTATTTGATGTTCAATTAAAAGTTAATTTTTCTGTTGATGAAAAGTCAGTCCTGTAGAAATTGAAATGGGGTTAAGGGGGGTGTAAAATTTGGGAACCAATCTCCAAAAATTCAGATGGTCTGCAATGGTGTTAGGAAAACTTAGTTTGGAATGGGGTTAAGGGTAGTATCCGCTTTCTAATACCTCACTTTGGGTTTGGAGATTTTGTGTATAAGAAACACTGATGTTTATACTACAATCACTGTTACAAAATTCGGCCGCCCAGCCACCTGGGTGGCCCGGGGGCCAAAATTCCTAGGCCCATCTTAGGGGAGTTTCATAGGCGTCTTGTGTTGAGGCACCCACCTAGGTGCGTCTCTTGGGTGGGCTTCCTAGGCATCTTGTGTTGAGGCACCCGCCTAGGGGCCCAAGGCGCTCGTCTTAAGGTGCACCTAGGTGGCGACTTGATGCACCCTGGCTAAGGGCAAAAATAGGCCCTCGGCCAGGGGCATTTCTGGCATTTTCCCCTTTGAAAACCTATGTGTGTTTTAGAGAGTGAAAAACTCTTATAAATCTAAGATTCTAGATTTTTATCAAGATTGAATTTTTTTTTGAAATTTTCGATTTCTTGCAAAATCAAAAGATATACTTCTTGATACTTGGAGTGGCCGCATAAGAGGACTTTTGGCAACCAAAGATCACCGGTTTGGGTATATATTAATTTAATTTAGAAAAGTTTGATGCATTACAATATTTGAATTAGGGTCCGGTATTTTCTTTTTGTATAATGTGTTACACTTTGAAATTTCTTTTTTGTTTTTTCTTTTGTGATATTTTTACATGTTTGTAGTTGACATATTTTGTGAATATTTACATGTTTTTTATTTTGGGCCTATATCTAATTCATTTTAAAAAGCTTAGTGCATTGCAAATTTGAAGTAGGGTTTGATATTTTTCTTGTATATAGTGTTATGATTTGATATTCTTTTATTTTTTGTTTTACTTTTGTGATATTTTTACATGTTTATAGTTGGAATATTTTGTATTTTTTACCAGTTTGGGCCTTATTTTGTGAATAGTTCCAATTAAATTGATGTTTTGTGAATATTTTGATTGGAAAACCAAATCTTAGGGATATTATGTTATGTGATATTATTGATTTTTTTTTTTTTTAGATTGATATCATGTGATTTTTTTTAGATTGGAAAACCAAATATTATGTGATTTTTTGTATTTGATTTGGTTTCCACATAATATGAAGGTCATTTTTTTATTGGTTTCCAGTTTCCACATATTTTTTGTGGTCTTTTCTAGTTTGTTTTGTTTACTTCATACTCTTCAATTAAAACTTGATTTTTTTTCTTTATTTATTTTAATACTTTCATTCTTGTGTATTTTTCAGGTTTATTGACTAGGTGATATTGCGTATTACTTGATTTTGTGATTTGTGATTTTGTGATATTGCGTATTACTTGATTTTGTGATTTTGTGAGTCGTGAGTCATGACAATGTCTTGAAGTGGATCAAGTAGGCAAAGTGATCCGGGTTGAAAGTACGGATCTTGTCCAATCCTGTTGACAACAATAAGGTGGAGCGTAAGTTTTGCATGAAATCATATAATGCCGGTATCAATAATATATTAAAGAAATATTTAACCGACACTAGAGGGAATGTGTCCCCATGCACGCAAGTACCAGCTGAGGTTAAGAGTGAGACGTAAGATCACTTGGACTGGGTTAAAAACAAGAAAGCGGAGGTGAGGAGAAGACATGAAGAAATTGTTAGAAGTGTAGATATTTTTAGAGTTCAGGAAGAAGAAGAGGATATATACGCCGAGGTTGGATCTTCCCGTAGGCCAATGGGTGCCATGCATAAGAGGCCACGAAGAATGTTTTTAAAATTTTAATTGTCCATTCAACATTTATCTAATAGGTCCATACAAAATGAGGAACAGACTTGAGCAAAAAGCCAAAAGCGATTGAGTGACCTTGTCTTCGTTCAATGTGATCAAAAGATGCGGGAGTGCCATCAGGAGCTGGAGAGCAGTGAAAGGGAGGCTCTTGAAGTTGAGATAGATGAAGCTAGTGGCTAGTTGAAGTTGGGGATGATGAGGTGTTCTCTAGAGAGGACTTGACTTGGGGTCAGGTTTGTGAGGCTGCTGGGACACCATTGAGCCTTGTGTGGACCACTTGATTTCAATATCAAAGCCAAAGGAAGAGGAAGGGGAAGGCAAAGGTGGAGGAGAAGAAGTTGACGAGATTGAGAGAGATGGATGAAGAGTTTGAAGCACATTCAGATGAGACAAGGGATGATGTTGAATATGCTGAGGGGGATGAATCTGATGATGATCGCATGGCATGGATCCTGATGATGACATGGAATTGTCATTGAATTGAGTAGTGCATCACATACGGGCAATGGACATCATGCTTCCAGTCTTTGACTTTTGATGGTCACTTTGTCAGTTTATGTAATATGTACTTTTGAGTTTTGTTGTATTTGCAAACTGCCAATTTGAATTTTTTTTTTACGTGAATGTGATGAATGAGATGTTATGATTATTTAATTTTTTTATTCAGGGGTTTTGGGCCCAAACGCTGCCCTAAGAACTCCCTAGGGGCCTAAACCCCTGCCCTAAGAACTCCCTGGGGGCCTAAACCAATTCACAGTGGTCAGGCCCCGAGGCCCCCAAAACACCTAGGCTGGTGCCTCTTAGTTTTTGAACATTGTCTACAAGAGTATTAGTTATATTTGTACATGGCATTCATCTATCTGTTCAAATAAGGGACTCACACCCACCAGATTCAACTTTGTTCATGTTTCGTATCTTCTTCCTGTCCCCTCCATCCAATGTTATAAAATGCTTACATGTCTAATTCTTGCCCCATCTACATTTACGTATGATACTTCTTTTGTACGCTCTACATTTTCCTGTGCTGCAATCCTTTCATCCCTTCTACAGTTCATTTTTAAATGCTTTCTTGAACTTGCTGTGCTATTCAGAGAATTATGAATGTCAAACACGTTTTCATGATTTTGCTCTCGTTGGTTTTATTTCTACGACATTTGTGAATTCACAGTAGAATTTCGTTACATAATAATGTATGTGAAATTTGATATTGATTTTAGTAATTGTAGAACCATCGAGGAGCAATGATGGAGTTGGGAGAAGGCCGATGTAAGCTCCGAAAGATGAACTTCAGGAGTGGACCCTTCCAACAATTTGAGAAAGAAATTTCAGCAGTCTTAGACTTCATCTACGAGACACAATTAGAATTAGCTGCCTGTAAGTTGAAGGCCATCCAGCTTCTCTTCTGTGTTTAATGACTAGGTTGAGCCCATTCAGTTCTGGACTTGGCCTGGATCGACTTGGACTGAGTCCAGAGCCATCCTTTTTCTTGCATATTGCTTGCCATGAATTAATGATGCATTGTATCAGAGTCCCCATATTATTTGTTATCTTATATCTAATCTCCTTTTTCATTTGAGTTTATTGCTTTGTTATTCTATTCTGTCAGTAGCACTATACCTTTTATACACAGTAATTTACAGATGGTGTATGATATGCACCAAGGACCAGTTCAAGCTTTGTAGAAGCATACTCAATCAGATAATATCAAAGTTGATATGTTTTGTTTCAACTGTTTACTATTGAATCTCCAGAATGTAATATCAATCTATCAGTCAATAGAACTCAAGTTCGTTGGGGTTTATAGGAGGGAGTGTCACATTCTACAGGCAAACCATATCGATCTGATGCACATGCAAAGAAAATGTGGATCATTGATAGTTCTCAGCCTCTCAACACATGATCGATATGTTAGGGATAATAATAAGTTGATAACTAGTTAAAAATCTTATCTTGCCTAGCCCATCACCCAAAACCAATAAGTCCAGGCCTACCAGTCAACCAAGCGAACTTTAGAACTACCATCTTGAAGTGCAACGTAAGGGATTTCACTGGAAAGGACACTCATTATGGAGCCCAATTTTTGAAGCACAGTCTAAGTTAACAAATGGATAAAAATCTCAACCTTGCTCCTTCCAAGTCTTGTGGATTGTGGTTATTAATGCAAGCCCAGTTGTTGATCTTCTCATTGATTTAAATTTTTTTTCTAGAGGAAGTTTACTGTGAACCAATGGTGTATGCTATATGATACACGAAAGGTCATCCATTGTTTTTTCCCTGTGACCACCCATCTGTTATTGGGAATGGATGGTGGAATTGCCCCCTGGTTTACCATATAATATGCACCATTTGTTTTACTCTTTTTTCCCCCCTTTTATAATGATTATGATTTCTTAGAAATCATGGATTGGATTACTTGATTGTTGAAACATGGCCGGTGAATTTGGACCATTAGATCTTGGCATTTCCCATTACAGGTACCGATGATCTCTGCTTGAGAATGGATGGTTCGGATCGTTCATACCAGCTTTTGGGTAGCTTTGGCGCCGGCCAGAAACTGTACGAGTTTGAACATGAGTCAGACAATGCTTGTTATATAAATTTTGAACCTGAAGGACTCTACAGCTCAGTTAAGACCACAAGAGTGAAGGTTCCACTTCTTCATGCAACTGAGGAACAGTTGAAAGCTTATGAATATGATTGTTAGGGTTTCAATTTTTCTTTGAAGTGATTTTAGTTATGATTGTTTTATTTGTTTATTTTTCCATGAATCAATGGGCATGTAAAATATTGTGTAATGCATCTACATATTCTTTTTTAGTGTTCATTATATGTAATAACATAAAGGCTGCGGTTTCTATAAGGTTGCAACCTTATACAATCCCATTAAGGTGCACCTCCAAATTTTAAAATGACATGTAAGTTTGTTGTAAATTTTTTTTCGTAGTATCTTAAAATCTATTTTCATATCTAATTGGAAAATTTTAAACTCCAAAAATGGTTAAAATCAAGGAGATCTATAAACATATGAAGATTTTGAAAATTGACGGTCTAGATAATGTGTGGCAAGATGCACTATTTTTGAGACTCAAATACTTTTTTTTTTATATATATTCATACATCTCGATGTCAAGATGATCAAGTGGAGGATTTTTCAACATTAAAACAACTTTTCCGATAGATTTTTGAGGGGCATCTGTAATTCTACATTTTAAGGTTGCAACCTTATATAAACTTCTCCCTAACATAAATCGTCTTGTAGCTCAGTTGGTTTGGGCGCTGGTCTTATGTGCCGGTATGAGCCGGAAGTCGTGAGCTCGAGCCTCAACGGAGCCATTTTCTTATATTTGTCATATTTAAATTTTGTCTAGCCAGAAACAAACACATAAAATATCCTTAAAAAATTGTCATATTTAAATTTTGTCTAGCCAAAAACAAACACATAAAATATCCTTTTTTTAAGGTTGATTGAAATATGAAAAACCCAGTAATAAAACCTATATGGATGGTTTTGATCTTCAGTAATTCTTTGAAGAAATAGGCATGGACGATGTCAATTTTATATTTGGATATTTTTGCTCCAATATCTAAATAAAAATTCTTAAATAAGTAGTTGTAATGGTAGTTGTATACTGGAAACAGTTTATATAAATTAAATTGTAGAAAAAAAGTATGTCTCAAAAGTCTAGGTTATTTTGATAGGAAAAACCCTCTAACTAATCATCTCGACCTCAAGATGTACACATGTAAAAAAAGATTTTAAAATAATAAAAATGGTACATTTCTCAAGATCTTCATGTAGTTGTAGATATGCGCGATTTGTACTGCTTTTTGAGTTTTAATTTCATAATTAGATGTAAAGTAGTTTTTTAGGTCATCATTAAAAAATTTGACACTAAAATCACATATGTTGATGAGCTTTGGACAACTACCTTAATTGAATTGTTTAAGGTTGACACTTTGTATAAACCATACCTTTATATATTTACAGGAAAGTATAAAAGAAGATTATTTATCTTGGGTACAAAGTAATCACATTAATCTAGACTATTGGATATGAAATTAAGTGGTTGCATTTATTTCATTAACCAAACTCAAATTTCAAAATAAATTTTTTCGAACTTTGTGACACATCCAAGCTATCAAATTTTTCATCCGATGGTTATAAGAAATTGTGACAACCTTTCTATGTATACAATCCCTATGCTTATTTCAAAAGAAATAATATAATATAGAAAAATTTTATAAACATATTTCAAAAGAAATAATATAATACAAATTTTTTTATCAAAATGCCTGTGAGGTTTTTTATCAATGAGCTACAAGCACAAATGTATGAGAGATTATTTATTCAAAATTTTACCTATTTCCAACTAATGCATCTCAAGACCGTGCAGATTTTTATGGCCATTTTGAAATTGAATAAAAAATATAAAAAAAGTATTACATTGCCCATCTTTTGTAGATAATTTGATAAGTTTGCCCATGACAATCTATTGAAATTCACCTAAATTTTCCTGTCAATAACAAAAAAACCGTCCCGGAAAATTCGACAAGATAGACGATATTTGTCATCAAGATTGTTATTTGTCCGAAGAAGTATAGTTGAAATCCTTATTTTCCTCACCGTAGTAAAAACACAACACTCTGGCCCTACACTCTCTCTCTGTTGTATGTAGAGAGAGTGACCATGGAGTTAAAAAGAGAGACTCAGACATTCAAACAGTCTCTCTTAAGTGAGTTGTAGAGAGACATCTGAAAAGTCTTTCTTAAGTGAGTTGTAGAGAGACATTTGAAAAGTCTCTCTTAACTGAGTTGTAGAGAGACACATTTGAAAAGTTTTTCTCAAGTGAGTTGTTGAGAGAGACATTTTAAAAGTCTTTCTTAAGTTAGTTGTGTAGAAAGATAGGCTTGTTAAAATATTTCTCGCAAATAACAGAAAAATTGAGGAGAAAGAAATCCTACCAATATGACAGAAAAATGCGATTCTAACCTGAAGCATTTCCGAATCAGTAAGAAATACAGGCGGCCACTTCAGAAATATCAACTGATCCCAACAGAAACTCGAACATTATATCGTGATTTCGCCGTTAAAATGCCATCCCCCATGAGCGTAGAAGGCATTAATGATCAGAGAGAAAATGAATAGCAACAATTAATTTTCAAACTTCGAGTTCTACAACACTCATTAAAGAGTGGGGGAAAAAAGAAAATCAATACACATTTGAAAAGAAAGAGTATTTTTAACAACAAAACGTGAAGGGCTTGGGCTCTTTTCACAAATGCTCTCTCTCTCTCTCTCTCTCTCTCTCTCTCTCTCTCAGCATTCTAACAGAAAAACTTTGCAGAAAAACCTTGCAAAACATTCATGAACCCGAGAAGGGTTCAGCAACTTCAAACTTTACCAGCCTACGTTATGAGCTTTCGATGCAGATGGCCCTCCAAGGTTTGGCCTTCACCTTCGTGGTCATGGAAAATGTAAGTCAAGATGCCAACCAAACAGAGCACTGATCCAACGAGGGCCTTGTCATAGCGCTCGATCCAGTGGAACTTGAGCTGGCTTGCCCCATAATAGGACAGAGCGACAAGAGAAGTCATCACAGTTATCGTACTGTTTCACATTCACAACAACCACAAAACTGAAACACAATTAGTGAGCTAGAAAACAGAAGATCAGTCAGTTATCAAGAACTGCACAAAAGGCATGTGCAATACCTCTCTCTCTCTCTCTCACACACACACACACACATACACACTCCGATACACATGGACAAAAGCCCATGGACCTTCAAACCCAATTCTCTGAAAGCTTACAGGACTGAAAACCTCAGATACACACAAAGAAAAGCACATGGACCTTCAAACCCAATTAACTAAAAGCTTACAGGTCTGAAAACCTAGGTATCGAAGCTTGCACTTGACAATATTCTTGCTGTCCAGGTGCCTTTCTTGTTGCATTGATTCAATTCCTATCAGCTAATCACCAATATATCTTGCTCTGTATTTTCTTCTTAACGATCAAACCGACATATCTTTTCTCTTCCAGTGAGAAATGTGCCATGGAAAATAATGGAATTATCTCACTACTAGGGTAACAGAGCTAATTCTTCGATCTTATTACACAATGGGGCTCAGTGGAAGGGCATTGGACTACAGATCAAGAGGTCACTGGTTCGATCCTGGTTGAGAGTATTGCCCTTGATAGAGTGGAATGGTGGAACAAGTTTTGTATAGCCAACCCCAAATAGTTGGAATTAAAGCTCAGATGATGATGATGATGATAAATTAAATAATAAAAAGCGCGGCCAAATTATATACCTGAAGAGAAGCACTATGATCGCAAGCTTGATAGAGTGGAATGGCGGAATAAGTTTTGTATAGCCAACCCCAAATAGTTGGAATAAAGCTCAGTTGATGATGATGATGTTAAATTAAATAATAAAAAGTGCAGCCAAATCATATACCTGAAGAGAAGCACTATGATCGCAAGCACCAGCATCGAAGATGAGTTTCCAACTGCGAGAAAAACAGGAAGTGTTGTGGCACAAGGTGAGAGTGCAGGTACGAGAACAAGACCAGCAACTGCCATCTTCTCCATAGGGTGGTTGTGAGAGTGACTATGCCCCCCTTTCCCAAAAATGAAGAGCAAAATGTAACTTCCACCAAGGATTACAAGCAAGAGAGAAGCCAGTCTATGTACAGTCTCCTCGCCAGCTATCGTGTTTGCCATTGTGATTGCGGCTATGCCAAGAAAGGCGGTCGAAACCACATGTAAAACGGCTCCAAATGCAGCTGTGAGGCACATGAATTTCGGTGAGAACTCTACAAAACCATTTATTTATTGAATCCTTTCCCTAATCCAATTGGAAAGATGGGTCATGGGTAAAAGCTTAACCTTCTTATAAAGACTCTTTCACACATGAATGCACGCACACACACAGACTGGACAACGAAATGGCATAAAATATTGGAAAAATAAATTGTAAACCACACGAGTATGACGTATGCTACTACTGAGCATAGGGCATCCACTGTCTGCTACCCATGATGAATAGTGGAGATTAACTCAAAATGAACGTATATCCCGATGAAGATTAACTGGACCTGGATGAATATCCACTGTCCACCACCTGCGATGATGGGCAGAAGATATTAACTATACATGGATAAATATCCTGGTGGACCCCAACTATGATGAATCTCAAAACCCTGTCACCATGAATGGATAGTGAATGCTCCATTTGATTACCGTGTACCATACTTACTAGATACCACTGTCGGATCCATACTTTACCAGGCCCTAGAAAACTACAACCTATAAATTTCAGATTGTCAACACAACTTGATTATTTGCGATGCCAGAGTTTATGGTTAAAAGAGAAAAGCATCATAGATGATTATTTAAACGAATTCAACACCCATGATTTGAATGAGCAAACATCACTTCTAGTACAATATCATATACAGTAGATTGCATGGATACCATAAAATCAGATGTATGGTGCTTGCTTCTACACAAGCAGACAGACTAGCCAAATTATTGATACTTCTTGAACGGTATGAAAGTGCCCAACAAGGAAGAAATGCAACTGATGTGTTTGTGGCTATTAATGTGAATACATATATGGTGCCATGTGCATCCATGCATGTATGAATTTCGCACCCATGCACCAAGATTTATTTATCTACCACTCTGTGTACATATGAATTGAATGAATTGTATGAATACCATAAAAATAGATGTCTGGTGCTTGCTTCAAGCAGGAGAGCATACATTAACCACATTAATGAAACCTCTTGAAAATTAGCCAACAAAGAACAAATATAACTGATGTGTTTTTGGGTATGAATACGGTAAAAAATAAAATGGCACTATGTGCATGCATGCATTTCCTATCCAAACACCAAGGTTTATTCATCTACCATTTTACATGCTTGAATTGAATGGTCTGATGCACATGTATTACATGCTACTGCGGCTCAAATTCTGTCCAACCCATTAACATGTTATACTGAACTGCAATGGATTTAAAATACCTATATGGATTTCATGAAACCCGTCCTTTACTTTGCAATTTTCACTAGATAACTAGCAAGGAAAGGTTCAATTGATGCTCAAGATAACAATGTATAAGTGAAATTATTTTTCATCAGTTTAGTGATGCCCCAGAAATTCATATTCTTAACCTTTGGATTCTAAAATTTCCATAATTATTCCATTATTTTGTGACTACTGCATTATCAATATCATTATCAATATCAATTCAGATCGTCCCAAATCTCAATAATGTAATCAATATCAGCAATGTCCCAAGTTTGTAATATATCACATTATATGATTTAATGTAATATTTCAACCTTTGAATATTGAAAATACCAGTACAATGAAAATGCAGCAACAATTATTCTTTGGTCAATAAGATCACACTTATGCTTGTGAGAAATGGGGCAAAAACATTGTTATGCTTACTTAGAACACTGCCGATATTATTTCCTCCATTAAATGTAAAAGATCGAGAAAAATCCATCCGCCTAACCGATTTAATGTCAACAATTCCCTTATGTACCCATCTGCCATGCATAAAATTCTTAACTCTTTTTATCAATCCTGCCTAAAATTCTTAATTTCCAATGACACATTAAAGAAGGACGTATAAACTTCCTCCTCTGTCAATATTATATGAACATCCCCAAACAAATAAGATACCCTCTCTTTTTAAGAGGCCAAATAAGATACCATATTTTTAGAAAATTAAGAAAACTAATATTTTCTCATTGATATGTAATTTGTTAGTTGTTACAAGATACAACAGTCAATATTTAAAAAGAAAAATAATTGCAATAATGTTGAACTAAATAAATTTTTTTATTGGAACTGGTTAACTTTGTTAAAATAAACCAACAATAACATAGATCCACAAGATGGGGGCTCAGACTACAGGGCCGAGAATAAGAGAAAATAAGAAACTAAAAAAACTCCAAAAAAGAGGAGAAAAAGGTGCGACCTCTAAACATGTGCATAGAGTACATAAGAAGAAGGAAGAAAGGAGGCCTAAAGGGTAAAGGGGAATACGAAAAGGAAGAGGATAAGCTGGAAAGCATTCGGCTTGTCCGAATCTGAGTGGGTACACGCTTCAGGGCCAAGAGAGAAAGGGGTAGAAGGCATTACCAGGCGGGTGGAAGATGATTATTTAGTAACTACAAACCCAAAAAATATATATATACATACAAAGGATTTATTAAAGGGTGTGGTTTGTATAAGGTTGCAACCTTAAACAATCAAATTAAGGTGCACCTCCAAAATTTATATCATAATTCATAAATATAATTTTGGACGCTCCGGAATATGAATGCTTAAAATGGGAATGTTTAGACAAATATTAGACTCCAAATAGAAAACCAGAGGACATCACATTTGGGGCCTAATTCACCCGTGCACTTGATATCAAAAACACAAGCCTTATATTATACTGAGCATTGAACAATTCCAGAAGTTTAATCCCCTATTACAATTTACATCGACTTAAAAAAAAGAAAAATAAGCTGAAAACCTTTGATTATGGCCTTGAAACCTATACATTCGTTTATAGAGGAAGATAATATATAGACGTATCAAAAGGGAAAAGATAACATCGAGGGCATATCGGCCCATATACCTGTGGATGTACGCATGGGATATCATCCTTCGAGTTTGGTCTTCCTAAGATAACAGGTCTCAAGTGAATCATAGGAGACGATTATCTCTCTCTTCGTGTCTTGAATATCTTACTCTCTTTTCCACTCTTAATTCTTACTGAGGCAAAACCTCGCAAGAACACTTATCTCTATTGAACTGTCTATCAAAAATGTGAGACCCCTCTTCAATCAATAATCCTCTTTTTATACTGTTGAGTTATGGTTTGGGATAACCATGCATTTCCCATCTTTGAATCTTCACCCTCTATCTTCATCTATACTTATCCATTCATTTGAATCATAGAGTTTGCAAGGCACAATCCTTATCTTCATAAATGTTGTTTACCTCTTGTGTTTATCTTTTCACGCTGTCAATCTCACTGTTGGGTTGTTCACGCAAGTATAATCGTTGACACTAGTCTTGAATTTTAAACAGTCGAATCTCATGATCTCGCGGGAGCAACATCAGGGATTCGTCAATATTGTTAGTGGGCTGCAACCACTTCTGTTGTTCAACTCAATGCATGCTACACCTTTTAAGGGTGATAGAGCAATGAGTCAAGAATCCAACGGCGTTGATTTCATGAGATAACTCCTTGTATTGAGGAAGGGATCTCCCCTTTTGGTAACCAAATGGCGCACGACACATAAAATTTTTAAGGCCTTAACTGTTGAGCGATGAGGAGGATGGGTTAAGCCATCTCCGGGCAGCTCGAGACTACCGATTGATGTGGTCATGGGTTAAGCCATCTCTGGGCAGCTTGAGATTGCCGATTGATGTGTTCATGGGTTAAGCCATCTCCGGACAGCTTTAGACTACCGTTGAAGCGATGATGGGTTAAACCATCCCGGGGCAACTTTAGACTGTTGTTGAGGAGGTGATGGGTTAAATCATCCCTAGGTAGCTTTATACTGCTGTTGAGGCAGTGATAGGTTAAGCCATCCGTGGGCAGCTTTAGACTGCCATTGAGGCGATGATGAGTTAAGCATCCCTGGGCACCTTTAGACTGCCGTTGAGGCGATGATGGGTTAAGCCATCCCTGGGCAGCTTTAGACTGCCGTTGAGGCGGTGATGGGTTAAGCCATCCCTAGGCAGCTTTAGACTGTCGTTGAGGTGGAGATGGGTTAAGCCATCCCTTGGCAACTTTAGATTGCCAATGAGGCACTGACGGGTTAAGCCATTCCTGGGCAGATTTAAACTGCCATTGATGTGATGATGGCTTAAGCCATCCCTGAGCAGCTTGAGACTGTCGTTGAGGCGGTGATGGGTTAAGCCATCCCTGGGCAGCTTTAGACTGTCGTTGAGGCGGTGATGGGTTAAGTCATCCCTGAGCAGCTTTAGACTGTCATTGAGGCGGTGATGGGTTAAGCCATCCCTGGGTAGCTTTAGACTGCCATTAACGCGGCGATGGGTTAAGCCATCCCTGGGCAGCTTTAGACTGCCGTTGACGCGGTGATGGGTTAAGCCATTCCTAGGCAGCTTTAGACTGCCGTTGACGTGGTGATGGGTTAAGCCATCCCTGGGCAGCTTGAGACTGCCGTTGAAGTGATGATGGGTTAAGCCATCCCTGGACAGCTTTAGATTATCGTTGAAGTGGTGATGGGTTAAGCTATCCCTAGGATGCTTTAGATTGCCATTGATGTGAGACTTCAAGGGGGAGGGTTTTAATGCCTCGAACACAAATCTTTGAAAGTCTCAACTTAATCCCATAACATAAAGCCTTATGATGTCAATCTAAAGTATATTTCAACTAACAGTGGATACGGACATGGGTTAAGCCAAGCCCTTGTCAAGGGCACGTTTGAGTGATGCCATTAAGAACCATGTTTATTTTTTATCATCCGTTGAGGGCAGTCATCCAACGTACGTTCAAGCATACTTAGCTGCATGTCTCCAATCAAGCATTCATACTTAGTTTTGTATGGGGACTAAGCAATATATTTTTAAAGAAAAGCTTGTTAATAACTTTATCCAGTGGTCATTTGTACCCCAATCTTCATCAAGTGTTCATTGGGATGTATCGCGTCTTACAAAGACTAAAAGTACAGCCAACAGATGTCAAAATTTCTTAGGATGGCTTGAGAATCTATTTTCATCTCTAATTATAAAATCTTAAACTCCAAAAATAGTTCAAATCAAGTAGATCTATAAGGACTTTAAAATCTTGAAAATGGACGGTCCAGATAATGTGTCACAAGATACACTATTTTTAGGACTCGAAATATTTTTTTCTTTTCGTATTCATACATCTCAATGTCGAAATGATCAATGAGAGGATTTTCCAACATCAAAACAACCTTCTATGATGGATTTTTGAGGTGCACCTCAATTCTACATTTTAAGGTTGCAACCTTATATAAAAATTTTCCTTTATAAAATATCACAATCTATTAACATTTTACATCCCATATGCAATCATGACCGCTTATACATACAACAGCATAAAGTTTTTCTAACAAATCAATCATCATTTGCCAGGTCATACAACGTCTGCTAAAGCTTGATATTAACTATTTTGATGCATTTGCTATACTCTTTGTTTGACATGGCACCCCATCATATATGATACTTGTATAAATTTTTACAATAAAAATGAGAAGCGGAGACTGTGAAAGAAAAACTTACTGACAATAAGAGTACGAGAGAGGGTCCATTTCTGAGCTCGCCCAACAATCGAAAATGGAAGCCAATGTGTGGGGATAAATGAGTGCAGGAGAGAAACTGTCGCAATGCCTCCAATGGTGGACAGCTCTGTTGCGCTGAAACTCTCCATTTCTACTCAGATTTCTTGATTAATTATATAAAAAACAGTCACATTTTTTCCATAGCGAACACACGACAATTTGTGGGAGCTAAACCATAGAAGCTGGACCTCAAGCTTGTCTCTGATCAATTATATGGTTTGTCTCTGACGAGAACGCAATGGTGCCTGAAAATGAAAAATATTACCTGATTATGACGTAACCCCATGAGGATGATTGAGCAATGCAAATGTAAATATATTATGGATTTTAACTAGAATGAATTACAGGTTTGGGACGAGAAAACCTAAGTAGATCAAAATGGCAAACAATCGAGAACAACAATACACTTTGAAAAGCTTGAACCTTAAAAATATGATATACATAGATCTGGCAAAAAACTAGGGTTATCTGGTAAAAGAGAGTTTTAATTTGTACCTGAAAACCCTAATCAAGCAATTGAGGCGGCCATTGCAGACTGAGACACCATTTTTTAGAATGCTGAACCATGAGCGTCAGGATCACAAAACTGAGAGGCAATCAGAGGACAAAGACACTAAATTAGAAGTTTCCGACTAGAGAAAATCACAGAGAATAAAGAATTAGGGTTTGTACAGAAAAAAAACCCTAAAATTTCACCCTTGCATTTGCACCATTAAAGATGGATTGTGAAGTACGTGGGATTGTTCTTGTAAAACACCCGTTTTCATTTTACTAAAATACCCTTTATGTTTACTAAAAAAGACCAAAACGTCCGAAATTTATGAATCCCAAAAGTTTTTCTACTCTCGCGGGAGTATATTATCCATTACTCCTTAGTGCAAAATCCAATCCAGGAGTCATTTTAAGACACAAAAATTTGTGAATATAACCCTTAACCCATAGGCTAACCTCAATAAAAATATTTTATAATTTCTCTTTATATACTTTTAAAAAAAGTGGTGTCTCATTAAGTGACCAATATTTGAAGGGTGAGGATCTACGTGTTAAAACAACTAAAATTCTAATTTTCTTTTGAAAATAATTATATGGTGATTGTCATTATCATCATCATCCAAGCCTTATTTTAATTATGTAGGGTCAATTTTATGAATTGTATTCCTCCATTATTCTCTATCAACATCTATAGGTTGAAGATTCATGAGAAGACGAGGCAATGTTTACGTTTTTTACTAACCTACCACAACCCGCCTTCTTTACTCAAGCTAGGTATAGGTTAAATGAAAGCTTAAGGTCGTCACCTTTATTAGACCATATATTGACGCTTATGTGATTCTCAAAATTTCCATTTTTTTTAAAAAAAAAACCTTCCCTGGCAGTCCTTTTCAAGATCGAGTATATGTACATATTAATATAAATTGTTGGCAATAGTTGCAAACTATTTATTATGCTCATGCCAGAGCATAACATTCCCTCGAGTAAAATTTCCATTGAAATATTTTCAAAGAAAAACTAGTCTACACTTTAACTTTTTTTTTGTTTTAATTGTAAAAAAAACAAAACAAATTCCTTTTTTAATTTGGTTGTATTTTGATAAATTTCCCTTATTAGGATATAGCCTCCTCACCTTAAATAAATAAATAAACACCTTTTGTCACTAAAGTAGTAATGTTTAAAGCTTGAACAGAAATCATTCAGGTTTTTGGCAATTTGATATTAGTATTTCATAATTCCAATCTTTTTATATTTATTTTAAATGTAATGTATATTCTGAAATTACAAAGCTAAAAAAAATTATTCTAATCAACTTTTTGACCTGAGGGAATAAGTGTATAATATCCCCTACATAAGCGTGCTTTTAATTATAAATTCCTCCTTAAATTGGATTTGAGCACCAAACTTAAAGAATGTCAGGCAATTAATTTTTTGTTAAATATATATGTCATTCCTACACATAACAATACTATTTCAATTAATGTGGTACATTTTGGTGGCCAGACCTAAATAACCTAAATATTTTTGCTTGATCAGGGTTCCAAACTCAGCTAAATGATAATTATGCGGACCACGCATTTTTTTTTTTTGGTAAAAAGATAGTGTTTTGAGTTTAGAATACTTAAAAGGCAAGAAGATTCTATACCTACGAATTCATAAAACAAGGTTAGTAATTTGTTCATGCCAAATTACACAAAATAACCTATTTATTTGACATTTTAAACCTTGAATAAAATGAATTTTGGGTTTTGTAAAACAAATATTTTATGAAGTACTTGAATTAGATGAATTTAAATTTGACGACTTTGTTGATAAATTGGTCGATTTGAACATTATTGATGTTAAAGTTTTTTCTAATCGTTTCAATGAGTCTAATGCAATAGTAGATGGATTCCATTTGGTCAAAGTCTACTCAAATAATAGATGGTGATGTAGGGAATATATGACCAAACAAAGATAGTATGACCCTTCCAAAACCAAAAGGATCCCAGTGGTGGGAAACACATCGACTGCCATTTTTTTTTTGGATGGTAATGGATTGATCAATGACTATGGTTTTTTGTAAGTCCATTGGATTGTTGTTCACTTTTCTCACTGCAATACACCTACATCTTTTCGTATAAGGTTAGAGGCTCAAATCCCCACTGACTTACCACTTTTGAGAATGGCTTGGAGCTTTGATGGTAGTATTATTGTGTCTTGTGGTGAAATCTCCGACTCTATTCTCACCAAATGATAAGGGCTCAAATCCCCATTAACATACCACTTTTTTAGGAAAGGGATTGGGGTCGTGGTGGTAGCATCCCCACACCCAGTTACCACTTTGTGGTTTTCATTCCGACCCTGACACCCCCAATTAACACTTTCAAAATATAACTCCCAAATCTATTGTAAAAATAAGTAGGGGCATGTCTTCCCCACTGTATTTACCCCAATAAAATACACCTCTTCATACAATAGAACTAAAACAAGGAAAAAGTTTACACTAGATTGCAACCCTCTTCATACAATAGAATTAAAACATGGAAATGGTTTATATTAGGTTGCAACCATATAATGTACAATAGAATTAAAACATGGAAATAGTTTATATTAGGTTGCAACCATGTACTGTACAATAGAATTAAAACATAGAAATAGTTTACATTAGGTTGCAACCATGTACTGTTGAAGAAAGCTACACCTCAAAAATCCTATGGAAGAGAAAGCTCAACCACAAAAATCCTATAGAAGAGAGTGCTTCAATGCTGGAGACCCCTCAAATCGACCATATAAGACCTTTAAGTCATAAAAATAATGTATCTAGTAACAAGTTATTCAAGGGATGTTTGGGTAATTGAAAATTTATTGTTTGTGAAATTCATTACTGACATAATATATTCTTGGTGAAATTCGTTATTTGGAAATTAGTTATTGTTATTTGGGTAGCATCTACATGTAACCTTAGAACATTGCTACTATTTCGCCTAAAATAAATCTATAAATACATTGCGCTCATTTTGGCTTGGAAAAATTGCATGAATTTTACTTATGGTGATGTGGTGTTTTGTGTACATATCGTAATATTTTACTATTTTTATGATAAAATGTCATTGGAAACTGTAGGTAAAATACTTTTGTCATTATGTAATTAAAAAATATCAATTTATATCATGATATAAATATTTTACTTAAAAAACCTCACACGACCTATTTTTTTCATTTATTTTAAATGACCAAATTATCCATGTTTTGAGTCTTAAGATCCAAAATTTAGTAAAACATAAGTTTGTAAATTTGGGGATCAAAATTTATCTAAAAATTTAGAACTATGAAATTTATATAAATACAAACTTTGAAAATAAAAAATTTTGAAGTTTCGACTTCCAGAATTTATATTTTCACCCTCCGATATTAAAAGTCCACAATTTCTATAAATTCAATCTTTAAAAATCCAAAATTTGAAGTTTCTATTTTCAAAATCTAAAACTTTCGCCTTGTGATTTTCAATATTTAAAATTTCCATATCAATATTTTAAAAATTCAAAATTCCTTTGGTTCCTAAGGTACACAATTAATGGGTCTATTGTGCCCCTAGGACTAGAAGAACTTTCAGATTTTCAAAACCCAAAATTTTTATAGGAATTTAAAATCTCAAATATCCAATATAAAGGCATTCTCAACCCAAGGAGATAGAGAGAGAGAATGGGTATGAATGTAACTTTGACAATTTATGGGGTAATTTTTGTCAGAATTATCTTTTAGGGTTTGTATGTATGACATGAAGATATAATGGATTAGGGTGTGGTTTCCATAAGGTTGCTCCCTTAAACAATGCAACTAAGGTACACCTTCAAAATTTATCATAATATTTAATTTTGATATAAAATGTTATTAGGGTTATCTCAAAATCTATTTTTATATCTAATTATAAAATTTTAAATTATAAAAGTGGTTAAAATCAAGTAGATCTATAAACATACGAAAAATCTTAAAAATGGACGGTGTAGATAGTATGTTGTAAGATGCACTATTTCCAAGACTCAAAATCTTTTTATTTTTCATAATCATACATTTCGATGTCAAGATGATCAATCACAAGCTTTTTCAACATTAAAATAACCTTTTTCGATGGGTTTTAGAGGTGCATCCGTAGTTCCACATTTTAAGGTTGCAACCTAATATAAACTTTTTCCCATGGGGATTAGCGTTAAAAAAAAAAAATGGAGGCAGACCCTTTGCCATTTGTTTTAAGGAAGTCACAATCAATCACAACCATTGGATGTCAAAATATATGGCTTGAGGTGTGTCATAAAGATTGAGTGTTTTTTTTTTTTTAACCTCGAGTTTACTCCATAACATGTTTATAATATTCCGATTTAAAATCTGACATACAATAGTGATTGCGATATCCTTGTACTAAAAGTAAATGATCTCCATCAAAATTTAAACATGACGCCCATTTTCTACATGTGATGAACTCAAAATGATATTTGTGTTTCACAGTCACCCCAAAAAGAAATTGACGATGATGATGCCATAGCACCATCATCAAAGTCACCCCCCTCCTCAACATTTTTTAGATTCATAACTTGTCTTGTCTGGTCATGCTTCTTCCACATCCTCCTCCTCTCTCACTCTCAACCTCTTCCCCTTAGAGTTTGAGATTTAGAGCGGATGGTTTACACAAAGCTCACTGGTGTCCCACGTGCTTCACGAACTTGGGCGTATGTAACATGTTATACAGAAAACATCCAAAACCAATTCAAATATTATAATGTACGAATATTTTTAAGAAAAATATATATGACGAGACCATTACCTTTAGTACAAGATAGTCGCAATTAATCTTGATTATTGGATGTGAAATCGGGTGGTAGCATTCATTTCATTGATTAAGCACAAACTCCAAATGAATTTTTTCGAACTTTGTGGCATACCCAAGCTATCAGATTTCACATAGGATGATTATAAATAATTGTGTCATCTCTATACAAAATGTAAATGGTCTCATTGTATGTAATCCCCTAAAGGAATTGTTTACAAATGAACATTTTATCATTTGTACATGGAGGTCATGATCATTTTTGTCTCTTAAATTAATGTTAAAAAGAAGAAGATAAATTATAAAAATATACCTTAATTTATGTATTAGTGAAAATAAACCTAAACTTTCCAAAACATCATCCACCTCCATTTTTTGGATTAGTAGACAAAAATAACTTTTTGTGGTAGTCTTAGAATTGTGAATGCATTACAGTATATTGAAAACCGTGATGGTCACGGTGGGTTGTAAGTCAAATGTAGTTTTGAAACACCATGACACTTAAAAAACCACGGTGGTTTATTGGAATATTACATTCTAATTTAACCATTACACATTCATCACAGGGCATAAGAACTCTTAACGACCATTGCGACTTTTTATGTGCCGTGATGCCTTTTAACGACTATCACAACTGTTCAAGTGTTGTGATGCCTTAAAACATTAAACTATAGACTGTGATTTTAGGACTACCGCAAAGGCTATTGTGATAAAAAAAGAGAAAAAAAAAAGGTATGGATGAAATTTTTAAAAGTTTGAGGTTTTTATAATTTTAAATTTAAGATATATTTTTAACTTATGACAAAAATAAATTTAAAAAGCAAGCATGAATTTCTCTCAAATATGAAAACCTCCTTCAAATACACCAAATATACTGTGGAAATTTTTTAAAATATAAAATAAAATAACAAAGTTTTTTTTGGTGAATAACAAAATTAAAAGGTGGTAATTTTGAAGTACCTGAAATTATGGTGAAATCATGGTGGCAAATGTGAGACTTTACTCTCTCCAGCAAAGACGAGGACATATTTGGAATTTAGTAAATGTGGAGGATATGATTATTTCTCCATGTTACTCGAAAATAAATTCATCTCTCTATAAAAAAATCACTCCGTTGTTTCAGATTGTTGCAGCGAGACAAATGCTCAATGAAGTTCCGCGAAACCCTAATTTCATATCTGCAAATCTATCCCTAATAGTTGCAGATCGTTATTGGTCTCAGAGCTCAGAGAAACCATAAAACCTAATCTCTCTCGACTTTCTGCGTAGCTCATTGCAGTTGCAGAGCTCTCATGGTTTGTTCGGCCTGAAATGAGCTTGTAACGAAGAAGATCACAAAACCCTAGTTTTTTTGGACCCTAACATAGCTCGATAGCTGTATTCCTGGTTTATCAGCTTCATTGAAGGTTGAATTGAAAATCGAAGACACCCTAGTTTTCTTCTTCGAGCTTCAATCTAGGGCAGAGCCCTATGGTCTCATCAGCTTCGATTAAGTGTGAAACGGCGGCCATAGAAACCCTACTCTGGTTTCCCCATGCCATGGACTAATTCATAGTTTGCAGAGCTCTGTTTTTACCAGCTTTAAAGGAGACGATGTATCTTCATTAGGGAGGACGTGAAGCACTGGAATATAAAGACTTCCATTAGAAATATCAGGACAAACCTTGATTTTAGTTTTATTTCAAGCTAATACTGACATAAACTGTAGTTAATGATCTTTTAATTCTAATCCTTGAGTTTCTGTTCTCATATTAGGGTTTTGGTTCTCGCATTCGTGTGGGAATAATCTTTTGGAGCTGTGTATTTGCCCGTGAATTGATTATTTTTATCAGGTACATTTTCGGTGTAGTTTCAGTTCCAAATTCTGTGATTTATTTAGTTTTTAGGGAATGATTGGGGTTTGAATATGGAGTTTATGCTCGTCTACATCGTTCTCTTAGTGTGCCTTCATTTAATCATTGTTCAGTGTGTAGTATCCTTTTGGGGATTTAGCTTCTTATTTCTGGCTATTAGTATTGGAATTGTTGGGTTTGTATCATATCTCTGTTTTTAGTTTTGCATATTTTATGGAACATTATGTGGTTTTGGTAAGTGTATTTCCATATTACATGCTTGTCATTCTCGATGAATGGTTGAGCAGATTTTTTTTTACGAATAAGATTTGGGGTTCTGTTTTTAGGATGCTTTTATCTGGAATTACACGTATGTCAAGTAATTTTTTGGTCTTGGCGGTTATGCCATTCTTAATATTTAATATTTAATATGTGTTGTTCATGATTCATGAAGAAGATTTCAGGGTTCCAGTAGTGAAATGGTTCCTAATGTTTTTGAGGAAATTTGGTTCCTATTGTTTGTCACAGCATTTGAAGTTACTCTGAGGTTTGCATTGCGTGTTCCACAGTTTCAGTTGTGTTGTATAGCTTGTGATGGTATGTGAATGGTAGACACGTTCTGTTGTCTTGTTTTCTCCTGGTTGTGATTTGTGCGCATGGGAAATGTTTCAGTATTTTAGGATTATGGTGCTGTAATTATTTTCTTGTGTCTCTTTGAGTATTTTGCATAGAATTGTAGGCTCTGGAATCTGGATCTGTATTTAAATGTCCATTTCTGGCACAGTATTGGAGGGTATCATTTTCCTTCTGTCAATGTTTCCCCTCATATTGGTATTTGTGCAAGACTCTGATGGTCCTTTAATGGCTTTTCGCATTCAGTTTAACCTCTGTATGTGTGTGTGCGCGCGCGTGTGTGTGTGTGTGTGTGTGTGTGTGTGAGAGAGAGAGAGAGAGAGAGAGAGAGAGGAGGAGAGAGAGAGTAGTAGTAATAAGTAGTAGTAAATAAAGTAGAGACGAACCGTAACCTAAGTACGTTACGTTAACTAACCAACCTAACGTTGTTTGGTTTGGTTCGGTT